AAGCCCAGGCTCTGTTTTGTGCGTACAAACAGAGAGTGTGAGGCAAAGGTGCGCCTCAGGAGTTGTACCTTCATTCTCAGGACGCCGGGAGGCACGGGGAGTTGGGAACAAAAGGGATACCGAGATCGGGTTCTAACAGGTTTCCTGAAGCTGCTCACAAGAGGGACAGACGGGAAGAGGGGTGATGATCGGTGCAGGGAGTTGAGTTCTGTAAAGATCACCTAACTGGCGGGAGTTCACTGAGACCTGAAGTAACGCAGTCATCTTGAGGTCCCCGGATCCTGGACTGGACTAGGTGGTACTTAGCCGCCTGAGCCCATGGATCCTGGCTTCGGGGTGCTGGCTTGTGAAGCTTATTTTAGGGCGTCCCTAGACCCCACGCCCATATGTGCTCTGGGTGACTGTTCTGCCACTTTTCCAACCACCGGGTCTAGGAACTTAGACAAGACGTCAAGCGCAGTGTCCTAACTCCAGGCCCAGGGTTACACAGAGTGGTTCCTATTTTTGGCAGCCAGTGTAATGAGATGTGGAAAGCGTCCCAGGCAAAGTACTAAAATGTGCAAAGGCTTGGAGAGTTCAAGGACCTGCAGGTAATGGGAACCGGGAGGAGTGGGGCAGGAGTCAGGTCTGGACACCAAGGTGAGGAGTGTTACGGGAGGACTTGGAACAGCGAAGGCAAGTGGCCTCCCCCAGGTCTCACCAGGCTCCCTGTGGCTGCAGCATGGAGAAGAGTACACTTGTGACATACTACTGCAGTAGTCTGGGCGAGGGTGATGGTAGCCAGAAAGGGGTGGTGGCCGTGGAGGTGGGAGAAGTGGCTGGAGTCTGCCTCAGTGTCTTAGGCGTGGCTGCCTGGGTTTTCTAATTTTGAGGTGCAGAGAGATAGGTAGGGGTCAGTGGTGACTTGAAGGTTTGGCTTTAGCAGTTGGGAGAACGGAAGCTCCATCAACCGAGATGGGGAAGTTTATAATAAGAGTAATTTTCTTTGGGGATGAAAGATTTCTTTTTGGTTTGTTAAGGGTATGAGGTGTTTCAGAACAGTTCAGGATGTAGACTTCTTCAAAAGGTGGTGAAGAGTGTGGACCAAGGTGGATCTGTCGGTAACTTAATATGGGGAATCTTGGGGCGCCTGGGTGGCTCAGTCGGTTAAGCGTCCAACTTCTCTTCAGATCATGATCTCCCACTTCACATGTTCAAGTCCTGCGTTGGGCTCTGTGCTGACAGCTCAGAGCCTGGTGCCTGCTTCAGATTCTGTGTCTCCCTCCTCCCTCTCTGTCTGCCCCTCCCCCACTCGTTTTCTCTCTCTCTCTCTCTCTCTCTCTCTGTCTCTCTCTCAAAAATAAAATTTAAAAACATTAAAAAAAAAATACGGGGAATCCTGGTCGGGATGACAGTGCTAATAGTAGCCCAGGAAGAAGACAGTGGGCCTGAGGACCAATTTTCCTGCCTGGATCCCTGGTTGTAGGATGTGGGTGTCACAACACAGATCAGGGAGAGAAGCCATCATAGAGAGCGTAGGGGAAGGTGTGTGGTTTGGCATGTGGCCAAGGACTCCAGGGGACAAGTGGACATGAGATGGATGTGGAGGCATAGGAGTAGTTCAAACAAGAGGACACCAAGATGGGTGCTGGTGCTTATTCACTGTTCTCCAGACTCACCAGGATTTCGTTGTCTCTTGGTGGGGCTTAGATGTTAAGATGAGGCTAGTGGATTTACTTAGGAGCACAAGTGGTCATTTACAAGACTAACTGTGGGGTGCCTGGGTGTCTCAGTTGAGTGTCCAACTTTGGCTCAGGTCATGATCTCATGGTTTGTGGGTTCGAGCTACATGTCCGGCTCTGTGCTGACAGTTCAGAGCCTGGAGCCTGCTTCAGATTCTGTGTCTCCCTCTCTCTCTGCCCCTCCCCTGCTTGTGCTCTCTCTCTCTCTCTCAAGAATAAATAAACATTAAAAATTAAAAAAAAAAAAAAGACTAACTGGGCATAGGGTAAAAGGCCATTGGAGCTGAGTCTTGAATGTGGGTTAGATGGAGAGAAGAAAGATGTAACTGGCGAGAGGACATTAAGTGTATACAGTACAAGTGGGGGAGAGCCATGGGAATCTGAAATCTTTCATTTTTGTTAGGTTGAAGCAAGGGACAAGGAGGGAGGCCTTCGCAGTAGGGCTCAAGGCTGCCTCTGTTGGTGCGGACCATCAGAGTCTGGAGTAGTATTTGATCCTATTTGAAACTAGGCCACGTATGCTGAATGACAAGTTGAGAGGCCAAGGAGATGACTATAGTGGTGAATAGGAGGTGACTGTAGTTGTGGGAGTGCAGTTGTGAGAGGTGTGCAAAAAAGAGTGATGTGCACGTGGAGAGGAAGTGTGGACACGTGACCCAGGACCCTGGAATTGAGGTCATAAGGATGAAGGATAATGCCACAATGTTTGTGTCTTGGAGGGATGGTCCAGAGGACCTAAGTGGTACTGCCCGATAAGACCAGAGTCAGAGCGTTCACACCTTCCTTGTATAGCTTGACACCAACCACATTGACAAGAGGCAAGGTGGCTACCACGCCAGGTCCACAGTTCAGATACCCTCTATCTGCCCATCTGCTTGTTGTTATTGTGGGAAGACATAGTATCAGTAGGAATATGAGGAGAGGCCTGATATTTCCTCTGAGGCGTGGAGTCGAGTGAGCTGAGGATGGATGTTGGGGTCGGGGGAGCATGGTGAACTTGGACTCCTAGGAGTGGTGCTGATCATTGAATGAACTGTCCACATTATGACAGGGTATGAACTTTGAGGACGTGGCCATTGACTTCTCCCAGGACGAATGGGGGCTCCTTGACAAGACTCAGAGACTCCTGTACTGCAAAGTGATGCTGGAGACATTTGCACTTGTAGCATCTCTGGATAAGCCTGTTACATTGCTTCTGGTGTCCTGAGAGGATCCCGTGCCTTTCCTTTCTTACCCGGAGTTAGCTCTGTCTTTCCCACAGCTGATCATGGGCTCTAATTCCCACACTTTCTTGTTCATGTGTGCTGTGGGTGCCGGCGCTGAGCTGTGTATAGTCACCAGAGCTATGGACTCCCCAGTCATCCCTGACACTTGTTGCCTCAAAAAGTGCAGAGGAGGGTCTGGGAGTCAGGAGTCTTGCAGTTAACTTAATGGATCCCACCTTGCTTGCCCTCTCCCTGGCAGGTGACTGTGTCCAGATCCATAGCCTCCAGTTTTGCCCTGTTTCCTTAGCTAACAGTTCTGTGTGACTGCCTGGGCCAGGTCATGGTCGCTACTCACGTGAACCATGGACTGTTCTTGTAAGATCCTCCTTCAGTTGTATTTTGTAGTATTTTTCTGCTGAATATTACTACATGACTAGTGCCTGTGGCCAGTGGTGGCCATTCACCGTGCGTCTTTCATTAAGACTTGCATCATTCAGATTCTAAGGAGTTACACAGTGGAGAGCGCAGGAAACACACTGCTTGTTTCACAGGGCGGACGTGGCGAGATGGTCTCTTAAGAGGACTGGCCCTGGTGTGTGGCACTGGGGGGTGGGGGTGGGGCATGACCTGAGGGCTGTGTTCAGATCATACCAGGAACCCGCCATGTGTTCAGTGGTGTTTTGGTGCAAGTACCACCAGCCACATATCGTTTCTACCTTTTCTTCTATATACTTAACACTTTGCGGACTTGTCATTTCATCCGAGACTTCTGGCTCCTGGTTTCTTCCACCTTTCTTTCCTCCATGGGCCACCAGTTCCTCTACAGTATTCTCCAACATTGACCTGCACGTGGTATCATGAGGTGTGCACATACATAGCCTTATGTAGTCCTTGAACCAGCTTCTCAGTTACAGTTGAATTTCAGGGGGACAGGACCCAACCAGCCTTTCACACAGTATGCCCACGTCACCAGCAGACAAGGTCCTACTGAAGGAGGAGTGAGCAGATGGGAGTTTCTCCTCCATGTGGCGCACCCTATGCTTCTGTTCTCTGTCTGTTGTGGTTTCTCCTCTTCGGGTTTCTTCAGAGGCCCAATACTGCCCCTACTTCAGACTGCCTCCAGCTCCTTTGTTCTCACAACAATCCCATGGACCCAACTTGTGTCTGATACACCTTTGTAATGGAGCTTTCTCCCTCACCAAAGTCAGCATCTCGTCGGCAGGTCTCTGCTTTTAGGTTGTTGGCATGGGATGGAAGATGAAGAGGCCCCTTCTGAGCAGACTGTATCTGTAGAAGGAGAGCCCCAGTTCAGGGCTTCTCAGGCAGGTCCATCTACCCAGAAGATCCACCCCTGTGAGGTGTGTATCCTATGTGTATCCCATACACATGTGAGATCATGTGTATCTTGAAAGATGTCTTGCACCATGCTGAGCCCCAAACAAGATGCCCTTGGCAGAAGCCATACTTGGGTGGCACGAGTGTGAGATGTTTCTCTTTCCATGCAGACCTTCACCAGCAACAGAGGCATGGCAGTGGGGAGAAGCCCTGGAAAGGGGATGTGGACAGAGCCTCATGTTTGATGAGCTGCAACATCTTTGTGTCATCTTTCACCTGTAGGAAGGTTGGTGAGGACTTCCCAGCCACCTTGAGACTTCTGCAGCACCAAACCACTCCTGGCAGTGAGGAGCCACACAGGGACCACCAGAGTGGGCAGGCCTTTTACAGTGGAAAAAGTCACTACAACTGGTGCGAATGTGAAAAAGCTGTCAGGCACAACCATGTACTTGATCAACATCAGAGGTCTGCTCTGGAGAAGGGTTGTATGAGTGTGGCAAATGTGGGAAAACCTTCAGCTGCAACTACAGATTTGTGCAGCACCAACAGATTCACAGTGGACAAAGGCCATATGAGTGTGGTGAATGTGGGAAGTGCTTTAGCCAGATATCTGGCCATATTAAAGACTGGAAAATTCACAGTAGTACAAAGCCTTATGGATGTAAAGAATGTGGACAATTACTGATCCATAACTTCAGTCTCATAAAACACAGGAGAATTCACACTGGAGAAAGGACTTATGAATGCAGTGAATGTGGAAAAATCTTTATCCACAAATCCAAACTTATTCACCACCAGAGACTACACACTAGAGGAATACATTATGAATATGGTGAATGTGGGAAATCATTTAGCTACAAATCCAACCTCATTGAGCACCAAAGAGTTCACACTAGAGAAAAGCCTTATAAATGCAGTGAATGTGGGAAATCTTTTACCCAAAGCTCTAGCCTTTTCTGACACCAGAGAGTTCACACTGCAGAAAGGCCATATAATTGCAGCAAATGCGGGAAATCCTTTAGATAAATCTTTAACCTCATTCGACATGGGAAAGCTCACACTGGAGAAATGCCTTACGAGTGTAGTGATTGTAGGAAATCTTTTAGCTGCAAATATGAACTCATTCAACACCAGAGAATTCACAGTGGAGAAAGGCCTTATGAGTGCAGCGAATGTGGGAAGTCCTTTAGACAGTTCTCTAACCTCATTCGACACCGGCGTGTTCATACTGGAGAAAGGCCTTATGGTTGCAGTGTTTGCGGGAGATCCTTTAGCCGCAAATTTATCCTTATTCAACATCAGAGAGTTCACACTGGAGAAAGACCTTATGAGTGCAGTGAATGTGGAAAATCCTTTACTCGCAAATCTGACCTCATTCAACATCAGAGGATTCATACTGGCACAAGACCTTACAAGGGCAGTGAATGTGAGAAATCTTTTAGGCAACGCTCTGGTCTTATTCAACACCGGAGAGTTCATTCTGGAGAAAAGCCATATGAGTGTGGGGAATGTGGGAAATCCTTTAGCCAAAGCTCTAGCCTCATTCAACACCAGAGAAGTCACACTGGTGAAAGGCCTTATGAGTGCAATGAATGCAGGAAACCCTTTACCCACAAATCTGACCTCATTCAACATCACAGAGTTCACACTGGAGAAAGGCCTTATGAATGCTGTGAGTGTAGGAAATCATTTAGCCTCAAATCTAACCTCCTTAGACACAGGAAGATGCATACTGGAGAAAACCCTTAGTTGTATTCTAGGGATGTTTTATTTCTTCACTCATTGTAAAAACACTAAATGAGACTATGTGAGAGACTTTTTCCTGAATTTAAACATCTTTTATCCAAACATAAACTTTGTGAGATTCCTCCTGGGTTTTAGGTATATGCAAGACTTTAGCAGGATGCATTGTACTGTCTCACCTGTACAGCTCTACTGCCGTATTTATGTCACTGTCAGCTTCTGTGGCCGAAGGCATTCACCTCTACTACCTGACACATCTGTACAATGTAGATCAGTCACCACCCAGTGTATGCAGAGAAGTTTACCTCTTCTGTTTTCCCATTTGCCTGGGGAAATTATGAATAGCCTGAGTGCTTAGGAGACCCTCATTCTTCTCTCTGACTTTTAAAAAAAAATTTTTTTTTTAATGGTTTATTTACTTCTTAGAGAGCGTGAGCAGGGGAGGGTCAGAGAGAGAGAGAGACACAGAATCTGAAGCAGGCTCGAACTGTGAGTCTCTCTGACTTTAGAGAGTGGACCTGACCCAGTTTTGGTCCAGAGGACCCATCCTCATCTTGCTAAGAAGGACGTATTTCTTTTCAGGAATACTGTTCTGACATTATACTTGTGATGAATTCTTCCAGGTTCTAATTCACCAGCATGGGAACTACCACTACTATGGTGTTTTGGTAAAGGTCTTTGTTTCTGCACCTTTAATTTTGGTGGTTGTGTTCACTGGGTGAGGTGATCTGAAACAGAACTGTGATCTGTCAGCATGTAAAGAGCAGGTTTTATGGGGATCCCATACTTCCTGTGTTTCAGGAGGGATGGTATGATGGCAGAAAATAGCAGTTGTTCGATACTGATCTAATTTGCGTTGGTGCCCAGTGCTTTGAAAGAAAAACTGCAGGACTCTTTGGTCCTTAGCAGCTTGGTGCTGTGATTTGGGGGGAGGTCAGAGGTCACCCAAAAGAGGAGAGCTTTGTTGTAACAACCTCCCTGTGCTTCTGTGAACAAAGTAAATTGAATTCTCTTGTTTGCTGTATAGATCACATAATTCCCACCACTCTTTAGGGTATTTCTTCCTCAGGTCCTACAAAGGAGCCATGTGCCACGATGTACAAAATTTCACTGTCATTTGCTGTAAGACTAGACCGGTCAGGTGGAACTGTGATTGGAACAGAAACATGGATTGATAGGGCATAAAGGAGACTGCAGTAAATTAGATGTAATGTGCCTTACCTAAAAGTTCATTTCTAAACATTCCAGTACTGTTATTTATATGATTGATGTGTACAGAAATTCTCAGGACCATAACTATTTCCTGTACCCAAGGTCATTGATGAAGTAAATATTCTAAAGGTTTTGTGGATTCTCCTAGCCTCTCTGGGCTGTTCACATCTAGGTCAGTGCTCTATGGGTAGGAGAACAAGGATGGAGAGAAGACTGAGCCTGTTGTCCAAGGAGGGGTCTTTTGTGACCCAGCCATCATTCCTGTGGATTCAGGTGGCAGCAGTCTTCATGCTTGCCAATATTTGCTGCCACTGAGGCAAGGCTGCCCTCCCCAGACATAAGGGTACAGATGGTGGAGTCCATATAGGGTTGCCAACCTACTTTCCAAAGAAAAGAAGGCTATCTGGGCTTGTATTTATTTGGACCACTTGTTAAAGCTCTGTTAAGGTATAATTTGTATAATTGACACTCAAAAAAGTACACTTATCTAATGTTAACAGTTTGGTAAACTCTGACATATGTATAAAGTAATGAAAGCATATTACTCATGAAAATGAACATATCTGTCACCATATATTTACTTTGTGCTCAAATAGTCTCTCGCCCTGCTTTATCCAGCCTTCCAGGCAACCATCAATTTCCTTTCCTTTACATTAGGTAGGTGTGTATTTTCTGTAATTTTAAATAGCCATTATTAAGTATATGCATATATTTTGTACTAGTTTCCTTCATTCTGCATACTTACTGAGATTCAACAGTGATGGTTATTTTTATATTTTTATTGATGAGTAGCATTCTATTGTATGGATAATGACTGTTTATCTCTTCTGGACATACAGGTTATTTTTGGGCTTGGGGTATTTATTTTAAAAAAGCTGCTATGATTTTTATACACCAATAATGAAGCAACAGAAAGAGAAATCAAGAAACTGATCCCATTCACAATTGCACAAAAAAACATAAAATACCTCGGAATAAACCTAACCAAGGATACAAGAGATCTGTATGATGAAAACTATAGAAAACTTATGAAGGAAATTGAAGAAGACACAAAGAATTGGAAAAACATTCCATGCTCATGGATAGGAAGAATAAATATAGTTAAGATGTCATTACTACCTAAAGCACTCTACACATTCAATGCAATTCCAATCAAAATTGCACCAGCATACTTCTCAAAACTAGAACAAACTATCCAAAAATTTGTATGGAACCACAAAAGACCCCGAATAGCCAAAGTAATACTGAAAAATAAAACCAAAACGGGAGGTATCACCATCCCAGACTTCAGCCTCTACTACAAAGCTGTCATCCTCAAGACAGTATGGTATTGGCACAAAAACAGACACATAGACCAATGGAACAGAATTGAGAACTCAGAAGTAGACCCAAAAGTATACAGCCAACTGATCTTTGACAAAGCAGGAAAGAATATCCAATGGAAAAAAGACAGCCTTTTTAACAGATGGTGTTGGGAGAACTGGACAGCAACATGCAGAAGAATGAAACTAGATCATTTTCTCACACCATGCACAAAAATCAACTCAAAATGGATAAAGGACCTCAACGTGAGACAGGAAACTATCAACACCCTAGAGGAGAAAGCAGGAAACAACCTCCTTGACCTCCACCGCAGCAACTTCTTACTTGACACATCCCCAAAAGCAAGGGAATCAAGAGCAAAAATAAACTGTTGGGACCTCATCAAGATTAAAAGCTTCTGCACAGCCAAGGAAACAACCCAGAAAATTAATAGGCAACCAACGGAATGGGAAAAGATAGTTGCAAATGACATATCAGATAAAGGTTTAATATCCAGAATCTATAAGGAACTCACCAAAATACACGCCCGAAAAACAAACAACCCAGTGAAGAAATGGGCAGAAGACATGAACAGACACTTCTCCAAAGAGGACATCCAGATGGCCAACAGACACATGAAACGATGCTCAGCATCCCTCCTCATCAGGGAAATACAAATCAAAACCACACTGAGATACCACCTCACGCCAGTCAGAGTGGCTAAAATGAGCAAATCAGAGAACTCTAGATGCTGGCGAGGATGTGGAGAAACGGGCACCCTCCTACACTGTTGGTGGGAATGTAAATTGGTACAGCCCCTCTGGAAAACAGTGTGGAGGTTCCTCAGGAAACTAACAATAGAACTCCCTTATGACCCAGCAATAGCACTGCTAGGAATTTACCCAAGGGATACAGAAATGCTGATGCATAGGGGCACATGGACCCCAATGTTCATAGCAGCACTCTCCACAATAGCTAAAACATGGAAAGAGCCTAAGTGTCCATCAACAGATGAATGGATCAAGAAGATGTGGTTTATCTATACCATGGAATACTCCATGGCATTGAGAAAGAATGAAATCTGGCCATGTGTAGCAACATGGATGGACCTTGAGGGTGTTATGCTGAGCGAAATAAGTCAGGCAGAGAAAGACAAATATCATATGTTTGCACGTATAGGAGGATTAGGAGGAACTTGACGGAGGAACAAGGGGAAGAAGAAGGGCGGAAATGGTGGGGGAAAGGGAGAGAGGCAAACCATGAGAGACTCTTGAATGCTGACAAAAACTGAGGACTGATGGATGTGGGGGGGAGGGGGGGTGGGCATGGAGGAGGGCACTTTGGGGATGAGCACTGAGTGTTATGTGGAAACTAATTTGACAATAAACTATTTTAAAAAAAATAAATAAAAAAAATAAAGCTGCTATGAATATTTACATTTAGTTCTTTATGTGGATGTATATTTTATTTCTCTTGTTATAATAACTAAAACTGTTACCGTGTAGGTGAACATTTTGTATTTTAAGAAATGTGAAACTATATGTGAACATTTTGTATTTTAAGAAATGTGAAACTATGGTCTATAATGGTTACTCTCTTTTGCCTTTCACCGGTAGTACATGAGAATTCTAGTTCTCTGGCAAACTTGATGCTAGATGTGGGCCATCTTTTTAAATTTTAGCCCTTGAGATAAGTGTGTAGCAGTAAGTCACTGTGGTTTTAATTCCATTTCCCAAAGTATTCATGATATTCAACATCTGTTCTGCATTTTTGTCATCTGTTTATCTTCTTTGGTGAAATGTGTGCTCATAACCTTTTACCTATTTTCTTTTTATGTACTTATGTATTTATTACATGGAACAATTGTTTTTGAATACTGGAAGATTTTTCTTCTTCAACTTTCTGTCCTTCTCACAATTGAAAAGGCACTGCACAATTTAATCTACATTTACATATCTCTGCTTTCTTAACTCAGTGACACATTAAATCAAGCCTGGGTTTTAGTCTTTGGCAATCCCTGGTGTAAACACTCCCCTCATGGTAAATGTGAAATTGCCAAAGCGGTGTCACTGAACATAGAGTTGGTACGATCTTCCAGTAGCACCTCATTATCTTCTATTCCCAAACTACTGATACAGTAGCCACAAATATCTTCAGGAACATAGGTAATAAAACAGTAAAAATGACTAGTAAGTGGCAAGTTTTAAACACATGTTTTACAAAAAGAATTTAAGTATGATCAACTTAAACTGCACACATTTTAAATGTACATTTTGATGTTTTCATACATACTTGAATCCAAGTTCTTCCTGCCTTTTTCAGTTCATCTTTTTCAACATAACATTATTGACATAAGGAAATATTCCACCTTTTGTAATGGCTATTTACAACATATCCGTGGATGAGACTGTTAAGTCCAATTAACCCTGTCACAATCTTCCATCATTATCATTTTCATGGTCATTCTTCTTTTTATCCCCATACATACTAGTGGGTTATTTTACTTGTAATCCTAGATAAGTCAATGCATAACCTCTTAAGAAT